AATTAGAAAACAAACCAGAAACTGTAAACTTGGCTATGGCTGGAAAGACGGAGGGAAACGCAAAGCATAATGAGGGCATGACGCAAGACAGAGCAAAGGAAAACACAGGGCTTATATGCACAGAGGGATAACGAGGGAATGAGACACAGGAGGAGAGCACAGCTGGGAGTAATCAGGCCTAACAAGACAAAGGAAGCAAAGCAGAATACAATGACAAAAGACACACTGTCAAAGTAAAACAGGAAGTATAACACAGAGACACGGACTTGACGCTGAGACAGAGGCATGAACTGTGGTACAGGGGGGAAAAAAAGCACAGAGAAGACATAACACACACACAGGGAAGGCACACTGTGTGAAACTAGAACAACAAAATATAACCTCAAGAGAACTGAAACCATGAATAACAAATAATCAAGAAATCTAAATTAAATACAAAACACTGGGTCACACCCAGGACTATGACACATGGCATGGGTTTCCATAGACCAGCAGCTCCTGTATGTGTGGTGTGTAGGGGGCCCAATGCTTTTGTCCACATAGTGGACACTAAATATCCATATTATTTTTAGCGTGGATTAAATACATTTACATGGCCAGAGAGATGTGTGAGGGATATAACTCCTGTTGACTATAATAGAGGAACACCCCCAGCCCAGCCCCCTGAGCAAGAATGGTTTTCTAACGCAGCTTGTTTTTAGATAACAATACAAAAATGTAGTGAATAATAAAGAAATCGTATTACAAGCTATGTACCGTTTCTGATAGATAGATTAGGAAGCCTGTGGTGGAAACTACAACTGCCTCTATTGTAATAGAGAATCACGTCCAGCAGTACAACTCTGTGGTTCATTAAGTTTCCAGACCCACTAACCTACTTCCAACACCACAGGCTGCTTTTGTCAAGTAAGATGGTGTTAGTTTGGTCTTTTTTCTGGGATTTGTTGACAGCAAAAACACAGAACACCACCTCCAGCTTTATCTTTTATGTGTGTCTGATATGTGTGCATATATGTGTGTGTGTGTGTGTGTGTGTGCGCGAGAGTGCAACTTTCTGTGCCACACTCAAATCTGGATCAGACTCGTAACTTTTGGGTCTTCATGCCAAATCAACATCCTGTAAACATGATGCCAAACATTACAAGGACAGAAACGAGTGACGTACGATTAACTGCGAGTGGAAACATCAAAACAATAAAAGAAAGCACAGAAAAACAAAGAACATTTCTAATGAGCACACGATGGTATGACTTCAAACAACTACCTATTCACTAGCGGTGGGTTTATATATCCGAGAGTCATAATGTTAAGACGTATTGCGGTGTTGTTTTATGTGTTTCGGTGATAGGCAATAAATTTACATTAACAATGCAGTAAAGGTTCAGACTACATTATTTATAACACTCTGCTGTCCTGTCAGAGCTTCATGTTGCAGCATATCATGAGGTTTGGGCGGGTTTTTTTCTTCTTCTTTTTCTGCTATTAAATACTGGTTGCATCAGCCCCCGGTAGTCCACAATGAGCTGGGAACTATAAACACATCGACAAAGGCAGCTTCTAAATGTCCACCAAGCTTTAGTACAGGGCTCTAAAGAACAGTGAAGCACATTGTAATTACCATGACTATAATTTAATGCACATGTAGCCTGGCTTAATAAGGGCAATGCAGACTGAACTGCCTCTACATTTGTGTCTAGCGATGATGAAGGAACAACGCTTTGGATCTGAGTTACAGGAATATACTGGCTGTTGTATAGAGAACACACAGACACACACACACATTTATACGTATAATACACACATATACCGTACCGTATGTGGCCTGTAGATATTAAACATCACAATATGTTACCACGTGTCTTTATGACATTTAATCCAGCCTGACCTCTAATGCAGCGTTGAGAAATGTAACTGCTGTCTGAAGCCCGTGACACCCACAAGTCCCCCCCCCAAAAAAAAGGAAAAAAACCTTGTAGAGATACAAGCGTGTGTGTGAGTCCTTGTTACGACCTTCAAATGATGTGTAAGTATTTTCGCTTCATGGAACAATTTTGAGCCATATTTCAGTCTCCTGTGATAGCACCGCAGCACATCAACCAGCCCTTTTTTTGTTTTGAGTATTTTTTTTCCTCCTTGCAGGCATCTGTGCAGAGATTTATTAATGTCTTAACTTTTTTTCTTGTTTGCATTTAGGAATGTGAAGTAGTGCTTGCCATATAAGATTAATTATAAAGGAGTTAAACTTAGAGAGTGTATAAGCTCAATTGCAGCGTATCTAGTTAAGCAATAAGTCTGTAGTATCTCCCTTTATATGGCACTGGCCTGTATATGCTTTGTATATATATATGAAAGAGTTACGCACATGCTATTGTACATAGGAGAATTATGCATTTGCAATCAACAGCCATTGTTATTTTTCAGAGGACATGAACTTGTTTTTGTACATGAGTGAATGATTAAATTTAAAGGGGAAAAAAAAACTGCATTTGAAGGGTAAACGAGCAGTCGTGTTTCTTTCTTGCTTTTTGGATTGCGGAGAAAAAAACAAAACAACAACAACAAAGTATCTTCTTTCAAAAACTCATATTTATATATGCAAGACATTCAGGCATTCAATATCAAACAGAGCCCAACCCACGTGACACAGCGTGACCCAGAGGAAACAACACTAGAAAATATCCATAGAAAACCAATGCAATAGCAACACATGACTGTTCACACACACACACACAAAAAATAAACGTACAAAACTTAGTGAACAACAGCTTTACATTCTGATTGAACTCTCTCAACATATTGACTGTTTACAGCAGCGATAAACAGTGGAGCAAGATCAGTATGAAAGGCCTGGAGGATGAGAGACAGGAGACAGAATGAGTGGAGGAGGAAGGAGAAGAGGAAGGAGGAGGAGGAGAGGTGTAAGGATGAAGCATAATATCCAGAATCAACACAGACTCAAGGGGACAAAAAGGTGGACGACACATCACATCAAATACTCTTTTTTTCCCTCTGCTTCTTCTCTCTCTTCTTCTTCCTCATCGAATGACGCCACCCCGGAAGACGCCCGGTCAGAGAAAAAGCTCCTGGGGCTGCAGTGCCACACCCGGACCTCGTGAAACACGCTGCCTTCCTCCTCCTCCTCGTCTTCCTCGTCCTCCTCTCCAGGAGACTCGGAGTGAGAGGTGGAGTAACAGGAGTCAAACCTGCTGCTCCTGCACCTCGGTCTCCACTCGGGCTTGCTGTGGATGCACACTTCGCTGCGGTGCTCCTGCAAAGGAGCCGGCTGCTCCTCGAGGCTGTCCAGCCTCTCCTCCTCTTCCTCCTCCTCCTCCAGGCACGTACTCATGGAGTCGCTGGGCAAAGTGGGTGAGTTGCTCTGTGATGACTGTGGGGCATTTTCAGTTGCTAGCCTGCCACAGGGCAGGCTGCTGTTGTGGGAGCCCAGGGGACCATCGGATGGTGGCGTCTCAGTGCGGTCCACCCCGGGCGGTGCTCCAGAGGTGGAACTGTAGATGGTGGCTTCTGAAGGAGGAACAAAGAGTCAGAAGACCGGGAAGTGGATTTACCGATGAGGTGACAGGGTGCAAAGATGAGATGTTTGATGTAGAATGATGAAAAGTTGGATACCTGAGTTTTGGCTGGATACCGTGTGAGTCTGTCCGCTGATGTGGGAGTCTTCATCATTGAAATCTTCCTCATCATCGTCATCCACAGATGCCCAAGCACGTAGCTTAGCCTCCGCGATGGCAAACTGCTCGGCCACTCCTAGCAGGAAAACAGGTCAGACAAATGAAGCTAGATTAAGGTCATTTCAAACTCTAAACTGTGTATTTACTAATGTTGTCTGCAATACGGTGAGAAAAAAAGTGAATGATCTATCTTATCTTTATCTCACAACATCTTATACGGGACAGAAACAAAGAGAGTATTCTAGTGATGACGTGGACCAGCTGATAGCTCAGCTTATACTCATACTGCAAGCCACATTGCAACCCATGGTCCTCTTCATGCCATGTCTATTAAGTTGTTTACAAGACCAGGATTCTTGCTGCCTCTCTCTGCCTCCGCCCTTTCACATACACATGTTAAAGTGCAGCGAGGTTCCACAATACAACCGTGCCAACAAATATAAATTACTGGAGATGGAAGCAACAATCTTCTCTGGATGTTAATGGTCCAGGCAATACAAAAGGGAGGAGTAAAGGTGAATTTCTATCCTCCTGTTATTTGCTAATTTACCTGAGTGTGACATTGTCTGAGTCATCTCTGTCACTATGAGCCTTAAATAAGAGCGTCAAATCAGAATTCCCAGGGTTACCTATTCAAACGGCTTCAAAAAATGACCCATAAAAAAGAAACTAACACATAGTTTTCTGCTTTTACTTAAAGTGACCCAAAAAATTCATTACAGAAAATAATTTCATTCAATTTAATATTATCATAACACAGCTAAATGTTTAAGTTCGCGAGCTTTGCTGTGTGGCATACGCAGCTGCATATCAGTCAGCCTCTCTCTCTCTTTCGCTCTCGATCAATCCACACCGATGGCACTGGTGCCACAGATGATGAGTCACAGCAAAACAACAGGAGCTGCTGTACGATTGGTGGCCAGTGAAGTGATTGGGGAGAGTATCTAACAGGCCACCATCTGCTGCCAAGTCAAGCCGTCACCCAGGAGACACGATGGTGGGCGGAGCAAACCGCTGACATGCAGGAGTTTTAGGGCATTAGATGCATGACAGAAGGTGAGAGAAAGCCAGACGAGAGGATGCATGTTCCCACACACACAAAAATTTACAGCTAATTATCCTGTATGTGTGTCTCAAATAGCATTTTAATCTGAATATCAAACATTCTGCTGGCCAAGAGGTCAGAAAGTCAAAGAAGTGAGTACCTGCAGCAAAACGAGCCTCCTTCTCCCCTTCAGTCAGATTGCAGTAGGAGCTGAACTGGGAGTGTGCGGCCAGTGAAGGAGCTGCAGGTTTAGGCCAACCTTTCCACTCGATGAGGTGAGCGACCCGGCCCTGAGCCAGCGAGGTGGGCTTTGTCATGTGGTCTCTCACTGCCTGAGAGATACCTGGACGGTGGAGAGGTAAAGGCCAGGGTTTCATGTTTAAATTCACAGCATATAGATGATAACGAGGCTAGTGCTAGAAAGGTCATCACCATTCAAGGAGGATCTGGCAAGCGCTGCAAACTCATGAATGCCGGCAGATTTCCGTGAGTCTGCTGGAGATTTTCCGGACTTTGGAATCATTTCAATCTCCTCAAATTTCACCTGTAAAACAAAATTATTAGTTTTTAGAAAGAAAAACTCGATTTGTGCGCCACATTCAGAATTAGTCTGCCATTTCAGTATTCCCACACTTGTTTATATTATACAGCTTTTATTACAGATGACACCAAAGCTGGCGCACAGACCGAGTTCAAGAAATAAAACCTCTTGATTTTCCTACCTCTTCCTCTCTTCTTGTCTCCATTCTTTCTCTACTCCTGGACCTCAGCTTCATCGTGGACGTGCAGAGATGGTATCACGGCACAGCGCACAAACGACTAAAAGTCACAGCTTGCGTTCACTGGTTTAAACCACCAGCCTGACAAGCAAACATCAATGGCCTACATTTACCGCACAGATGCTAAAGCCACGATAAGCCTGTGCAACCGGTTAGAATGGTTGGGGTGGAGGGAGGCGAGCGCAATTGTGGCAGTTTCCAATGCGTCTGAGCACACATATGGCATGTGACCAGCACGGGTAAGCAGCTCCAGCTGGGCCTCCTCATTGCAAAGCTGCAGATTAAAATGATAGCGCTACCTAACTAACTTCACAACAAACACACATGGCCACACTGAGCAGATGTGATGGGTCAGCAAAATCTACAATGTGGCTTACAGTAGCCGGAGCACAAGATGGATTTGTAATATGTCGTGTTTTCAGGCCATCTGACTACCAGGAAAGGCAACTGTGAGCATGTGCACGAGTGGACAGATATCCTTAAGCAGATTGGCCTCCAAAGCGGCTAAGAAAGACGAGGCCCCTGACAGCATTTAAAAGCTCACACTGAAGTCAGCCATGAAAGTAAATGAGTGTCAGAGGCAAACAGGTGGGTAGGGACTCTGGGAGGACGTGATATGAAGGTGCAACCAGCTCTGTTCAGAGGAAAGCTTCAGCTGTTAAACACCTGTGAGACGTCACTCATGCTGAAGGCTGATAAACACAACACATGTCCAGCATGTACAGCTCTGAGCGGCTCCCTCCAGCGAGACCGACAGCTCGCCTCTTTAATCATGCAGGCACAATAAATCTACAGCTTTTACTTGAACCTGAATATCAAAGACAGCCACTGCTGCAAATGTGGATTAGGACATATGGAAATTAAGTCTGCCTTGACTACAAATGGAGACGTGTCCAAAACTGCCTGTGACGTGAGTTTTTGTCCTGCAGTTTTCCCTAATCTGTTCTTTCCTTTAATAATTTAAAAGAAACTGAAAATGTCAGGGAACATTAAGAGTCTGAACAAGATTAAAGGGTACTCATTAAGAGTTCCCTTATATTTCTGTCAGAAATGTAACAGTTTCAAACTGTAAGATCAGAACATGTGAGCGTGAGCCAAAAGCCTCACCTACCTGCTCAAACCTTGTGTCTGCAAGGGGCAGATAGATAGGTGTCTTAAATGGGAGGGGCAACGACTAAAACGACTTGTTTCAGAGTGAATATACTGTGCAGGAGAAATAAGGGATATTTTGAACCATGCAAAGCCACTCTAGTAGAATTCTGGGATCAAAAATATGGTCTCTTATTCTTATTTAAATCTTATTTCCTATCCCATTAATCAGCTCAAACTTATTATGGGAACCTCTAAAAAGGGTGCAGGGTAATAGACGATGATCTTCATTTGCTTTAAATTTGTCTGCAGTTTTACTATTTTAATATTCGTCAGCCCACAGGCGACCACAGAAAAATGTAACCTTCAATCAACTTAATGAGCAACTATTTGTGATTAAAAAAATGTCAGTTTTTGTTTCTATTCAATAATAAATAATAATAACAGAAGAAAATAAATGATTTAAAAACATCACACGTGCATTTGTAAATCTTGTGTTTCATTCTTTTTTTCCCCCAACCAGTGCACCTGCATATAATTTGGCCTCTCTGGAGCAGTTAATTACGTGAGGTGCTTTTAAGCGTGCGCGCACACACACGCAAACACACATCCCCACCCCCCCCTTTTAATTTTTTTTTAATTTTTACATCTGACAAATGCTGCTAATTAGCACCTATGATAATAACAGCCACATGTGTAACTGCGCTTCTAATTAACTCGCTCTAGGCCTTTTTCCCCCTCACGAGGTGTTTGGATTATTTTGTCCACTCCCTGCAGAGGCAGACCAGTTTGCGACTTCCTGACATTAACATATGCGTGACTAAACATATACAACAGGGCTGATGTGTCGTCTGACACCTCCAGAGACACTGATTGTGACTTAGGGGACCAACAAGTGGGATCGAGCTAAGCCAGCGTGTCTGCAGCCAAACATCTTCAGCTCGGAGGAAGCTGCAGTGCTCATATGTAAGGAGGGTTTTTTTTTTTTCTTCTTCTGGAAATGGTGCATTCAAGCAACAGAAGCGGAACGCTGATGGCTGAATAACACATCACCCCGCCATTGATGACAGATTACGCAGAAAATAACGCAGGAGAAGTGCGGATGCTGCAGCAGCAGGTCCCCGGGAACCTCTGAAGTCTCCATCTGCATACCAATAGCTCCATACCCGCATCGGGTAAACACCAACAGCACCTGCCCTTTCTCTGCACCTCTACCGCTCTGTCGGGGTTCGTGTGGTCGGAATCGTTCCCCGCACAGCCACTCTCGGTACCTACCTGTAAGTCGGACCGCGGCGGCTCATCATAATGCCTGTAACGTCTCCAATCCGATCAACATATGTCACCGCGCTGTTCGTCCTCCTGCTGCAGGGTCTGCAGTAGAGCATTAAAGCGACGCTGACGGCGGAAACATCTTCCCAACTCCAGCATCAGCTACATCTCCGACACAGACGGACGCACCATTTGTTGCTCGCTATGTGGGTTACATAGGCTGTCCGAATGTCTCCCGATGGCAAGCGTCATCAACGCAAGGCGGTGTCATTGCACCCGCCCCCCCTCCATGCAGCCAAGAAGACACAGCAACCTGCAGCTCCAGTCTTTCCTAGAAACCGCACGTTTTTAATCCCTTTTCGTCTGATAGTGAGGCACCAGCAGTACGCACGCAGGACGGATGTGTTGAAATTTACTTACTGCAGTAAAAATAAAAAAGGGGGTGATCGTTCCAAAAAACGGGTTGCCGTCACGAGTTTGACCTTATTTGTCCAGTTTTGTGAGCGACAAGATGCACAAATCAGACTTAAAAAAAAAGGAGCAAAAGAAAAACATATTAAAGCCGTGATCCGAGGTTAAAGGTCAAAACCGTGCAGCCTCCTACAGTGAACTCTCTAAACATTTAATAAAAGGTCCATTCATTCATTTGCATTATAATTCATTTACAATGTGTTTATATGGCATCATATCCTGATTTGGACAAGGCCTCGACAATAGTCACAACGACATATAACCCGCTTTCTTCTTATAGTTTATGTAGATTGACACTTTAAAATAAAAGTGCATCATCTGTTACTCTGAAAATCAATTTGTAACATCAGGGTTTAAGTCAGGAAATGTATATTTTAAAATAACAGATACAAAGTGCTGGAAACATTCCTCGTTGATTTCGGTTCGCACTGACATGCTGGCATCACAGAGGTGCTGCAGATCAATGATGCAAATCTCCAAATCCACCACATCCCAAGGGTACTCTTTTGGATTGAGATCTGGTGACTGAGTACATTCACAAAGCCAGTTTGTGATGATTTGAGCTTTGTGCGTTGTTCTACTGGAACCAGCCATCACACTTTTCTATTGCACTGTTGTTTCTGCATCATTCTGTTCTGTCTGGTGTTGCACTCTTTTTTTTTTTTTTGCACACCTGCACTTTATTATGTAGTCCTGTGTTTATTGTCTGTTATATGTAGCACCATGGTCTTGGAGGGCCGTTGTCCTGTTTCACTGTGTACTGCACATGGTTGGAATGACAATAAAGCCACTTGCCCTGACCAGACGACGGGTACACTGTGGTCTGTGGTCATTAAAGGATGAACACGGTCAGTAACAATACTCAGATTGTGGTGTTGAAGTCATTCTCAGTTGGTACTAAGGCACTTTCCCCATATTTGTAGGTCTGCATGGACAAATCTTCAAAACTAGAAACTGATTGCAATATGGATCAGTAAAACCACAGTGGAGGGACTCGTTTTTCATCTCATCAAACACGTTTTGCTGTCAAACACGTCGACCCTGTGTTAACTTACACATGACAAAAACAAAAACACAAACTGAAAATAAACTGGTCTGGTTTCAGATGAGAGTGGCCTTAGTTCAACGTAAAATCATCATCAGAGGCAAAAACCAAAACTCGGCTCAGCAACTTAATAAGTCCTTTATTTGCAATGTTCCATTACCTTTCCAGTTTCCGATGCAAAAGAAGCAATAATTTTTTTTTAAATAACGAAAGCGGAAAAAAAAGAAAAAAAAAAGGAAAGAAAATATTTACAAAATTCAAATAAAACTAATAATCAATGGATTATCTAAAGCACCTCTCTGCATCCGGACAACTGCGGTTTCTGCTGGATAAGGAGACACTGCAATTACATCAGCAATTTGTTTCTGAAAAATAAAACTGAAAAAGTTTATTATCATCATCATTATTATTATTATTATTATATATTTACAGAACGCTCCTGAAATCCTGAAACTAGTTTCCACTTAAAGTAGAAAAGGCTTTCGGATCATTTCTGTCTTTTTTTTTTTTTTTTTTTTTAAACTTTATATATTTTATCAAGTCAATTTTCTGTAGATTTCAAGTTTTAACGGTGATTGGGTCGTTAAGTGTCCTCTACAACAGCTCAGGTTTAAGTACAGAAGAGGTAAAAGATGAAGAGTCAGTCAGTGTGGTTCACTACTGGGGGATGGGAGAGAATGGCTTTAAAGAGGAAGCATTAAGACCACCCCCTAGTAGTCAAGGTCAAAGGTCAACATCAGCCCTCTGTGTTTCTGTCCTCTGCTAGTTTATCATGATAGGAAACGAGAGAAAATAGACAACCTTTGCTTTAAAAACTCCGTCAAATTAAGATTAGTTCATGTACACTGTAACGTTTTGTCCACTGGATCGTTAATAGGAACACACTTCAGTCATGCTGCACACTCCGGAAAAGGACAAGGACATAAGAGCCGTGTCGGGACTGAACAAATGTTATGGCATGTTGATAAACCCCCCTCCACCAACCCACCCACCCACCCACTACACTTCACGCCCTGCTGTTTCCTCTTGTAGATCAGAAAGGTTGTTTGTCATTAGAATCGTCTAGAGGGGTGAAAGAGCAGCCCATTGGTTTGCTTTACTTTGACATAGAAAGTTTCGTAGTGATGTGGGATACTTCACACTTCGCTAATGAGTAATCCTGCTGAAACCTGCATTTTCAAGTTTGCTTTGATGAGGACACTTGCTGTGACAAGCAGGTGGAGAAATAATGAGGAAGCAGGAGAGGGAAGGTAGAAAAGAAATGATTGTTTTTCAGAGTCCATCCCTCCAAAAAAAGAAGAAAAAAAAAAGGAACACAATAAAGATTTATCCTCATTGAGGATTGATTCGAGTCTGCCTCTCTGGCAATACTGTCCATGACTCTCCGTGGTCGCCTGCAGAGCTCTGGCGGCAGCTTTTAGTTCAGTATTTTAGTCCTTGTCAGATTCCTCTTCGGCCTCGCGGAGCCAGGTGAAGAAGCCAGTGACCGACTTCAAGGCCACGCCTTTGCCTGTCTGCTCTGCCGGGTCTTTGCTGGATTCCCATTCGTAGAAGGCCTCCTCTTTAATGACGTCCTCATCATACAAGGCGTCGAAGAACATCCGCAGCAGGTCTGCAGAGACAAAATTAGAGCATTATAGAAGCTTTATTAACAGCTCCATTTTAAAATGGTTTCTATTTGCATTGAGTCAGGGACACTTGAAAAGCTATAAAGAGGTAATCAGTAGGTCAAATCCTAATTAACACGTTTCTTTTAGTGATTAGGCTTTTCTGTTTCAACCCTCCAATCCAGTTTATAACGCCATTAAAAAAATTAATAAATAAATCACCCCAAGAATGTGTTTTCCTCCAAAATAGACCACTTCCATTACTGTGTTCAGGCAAAAATGACTCAGGCCCTCCAGCAGCAACACTACAAAAACCTTCAGTCTCATCTTTAAATCTTGATACCCTGAATACACAGCTGCTGTATACATGATGATTTTATCCGTTTTCACCCTGAACAAAAACAACCTGGAAATACAGGCAGATCTTTTCTGATAAGGAGCTTTCAGACAAATCAACAAGGTCCATTTTTTTAATGCCTGTGATCATCACATGACCAATTACACATTACTTTAGAGCAGCAGCTGTTTTTTGTTTTTAACCCCCCCCCAAAAAAAGCTGCACCCAACAGCACATAGAGTATGTGAATGATATCAAGTCATTGCGATCCAGAGAAACATTCCTGTCAGGGAAGAAGCTGCAATCCGTGTTTGGCAAAGGGAATTTTACAGATCCTTTATTTATCCAGGTAAAAAGTCTCGCAAACATTAAAAACATCTTTTTAAAGAATGATCTGGGAAGCAAAAATGACAACATAACATTGCTGATCTATAAAACTATTTCAAGTGGTCAAAAAGGTCCGGATTGATTAGAAAGTAGATACAATAATGCAAACTTATAAAGATATTTTGTAACAGTTGATTTTGTAGTTTTCGCTTAAAAGCTGACTTTAAGGTTTTTTTCCTTTCTTTGGGGAAACATCAACTTTGTATATGCCAACAAGACTGCTTACAGTGACATGAAGGCTTTTTAAAATAGACGAAGCATTGAATTTCCAGCAAACAGCTGATTTGGTTACATGTCCCTGCTCGATTACTCTGAGCGACAGCTACTGTCAGCTGAATTTGAAACAAGCTCACAGGAAAGATTTCTGCTTGATTTGTGCTCTTTAAACAAGCTTACTGGACTTTAGTAACATTAAAAAAAAAATCTCTCTGAAATAATTCAAAGACAGACTTGGAGGGAGCGAGACTCACCCAGAGAACATTTATCACTAATAGTTTACAAAGGCCAATAAATTTGCCATCTTGTGCCATTATCTGAACCGATTTATGGTATCTTCCTGCTGTGTCTCAATGCACGATCAAGAATCCAGGTTAAACAAAAAAGAAATCTCAGAAAGCTGAGCGACATTATCAGTGGGAGGTACATCTCATCACTCATCCATGTAACTTCTTTAAGTTCTCCCAACCTTATAATCAGCCCAGCTGCACGACTGAAACCAGTATCACCGCATTACAGTAAGCCTTGAGATCAGTTTCGTCTCCGCTCAGTCTCATGAAATTTGGGATCATTTGCTTATATTGCCAAAAAGACGCAACAGCTGAGGAAACAACATTAAAATGACACTTTGAATCATTGGCGACTTTGACGCCTGGATTTAACAGATGCTTCAGTATCTAAATATTTATAAGTGAACCAATCAGATTTGTATGTTTGGCAGTATTATAGTTCACTGTAAGTGGGGAAACTCACGAGCAGGCTGCTCCATGTGCACCATCAGAGCCTGGAGGGCGTACAGGGCCTGCAGCTCTTTCTGCTCGTCGTACAGGTATCTCTGCAGCAGAGAGGCTCTCTGGCCGATCTGCTGTGCATCCACCTTGTACGGGTTGTCACCTGAAACGAAGTGAACAAGTTTTTAAACCAGAAAGTGTGATTTTTAAAAGTAAGCGCTATTAAAATTTACTATAAAATAAATCCGTTTTAATTTATTTAAAAAACAACAACTATATTTTCCATACTTCAGAATTTGAGCTTGGGTCGTTGTGAAAAGGAAAAAGACTAAATCATAGACACACACACACACACAGAAAAAGAGGCAGCTCGTGGTATATTAGTCATACTTACATATGATAGCAGACTGGCACACTGATGTCATCAATGCTCGTACAAACTGGTTCGAAGCAGTCTGCTGCTCGTCCAAGTTAGCCTGAAAATAGGAAACAAAACGCAGTTGGAGAGAGGGAACATGAACAACACTGGAAAATAACAGCACGCACAAAGTGTTCAGGTCTGAAAACACTCTGTACTGCCTCACACACTCACACACACCTCGATCCAGTCTCTGATGCGTTGATTGTTGGCCTTGTCCTGGAGGAGTCTGTCCAGCTGTTTGCTGATCTCCTCTCCGCTGAGGACCTTCTTCTTACTGGCCTCTTTGGGCTCCATCTCCTCTCCCACGGTGAACTCCACTTTCTGAAATACACAATACAATGTGTAAAAAAAATAAATTAATTTAAAAAAGCCTGAAGACACGGAGTAACTTGTTTCTAATCGTAAATCCCCACAAGCAAAAATCTCTTGCTTTCATCTCTGCCCACCAGGTAGACTCCAGCTGTGTTTGTCTGTCTTTGGTGCTGTGCAGGATGTGCTGCTTTCTCGTTACCATTTTAAGCTTTGTTGTTACAAAATAGACCAATTATAGCTGCTTTAAACGTATCCTAACATTTTTAGATCACTAAACAAAACTCCAAAAGTGCAGACAAGTGTTTTATCGTCTAAAACCTGAATGTGTTGCACGTACCTGATCGGTGACAAACTTGTTGACGTCTTCATCTTTGGGCAAGAAGTCGTTCCAATTTAGCCCAGCCTCTGTCCACAAAGCTCCGACCTTCTTGGGGGTCTTAAGGGGGGGAAAGGGCCAGATAATCAAATATCTGTGGCTTTTATTTCTTTTTTTCTCTCTCTCTTTTTTTTTTTTTTAAACCAAAACCAAAAAAAACATGTAGAACACAAGGTAATAAAACGAGTGTGTTCGGTTACCTTTTCTTTACAAAGCAACTTGAGGATCTGTACCAGCAGCACGCTGGCCTTCCCCAGAGGCACAAGAGGCTTTGAGATCTCCCTGAAGACACAGATGCACTAAATTAAGCTCCCATTTTTCTTACAGCTGGATTATAATTCAGTTTATCTCATTTTAAAGCTGGAAATAAGTGACCTAGTTTTAAATTTAGCTTAAAATCGTTATTTCCGAGAAACACCGTCAACAAAAGAATCTCTGGAAAACGAATCCAACACTATTTACAGTTTCAAAACGTCCATTTCCATCGGACTATATTCTAAAGTCAAAGTATTCGAGTTTGCTTTCACTTATTTGAAATGTGACCGCTGACATTAAGCTCTCACCTGAACAGCTGTCCCATAGGGATGCCTCCCTCGTGGAGCATAGGAGTAATAAGCTCAGCCAGGTAGAGCCAGATGTGAGGTATATCTATGGCCATGTCTTCTGCTACCTCCAGAATCTCTAGTAGCCTGCAAAAGAATCGGCTTTAGTTCCATCTGCTCGAGAACACCCATCGAGGGTAGATTTTAGTTGAAACCAGGTGACGTTCTTCCTGTTACATGCTTACCCTTTGTAGTACTGCTGCGTGGGCAAAGTCCCTGCCTTTACAAGCTGGTGCAGCAACAGGCCCATGTGTTCCCGAGCGATGGTGCTTCGTTCAAGCGTCGACTCCAAGCCGTTCCGCACGAACACGTACAGCAGTGATGTGCTATTGAGCTCCACCACACACTGCAATGCCTCCTACAGCACCAGAGTGACACAAAGCAATGCTGTTAACACGGTTCACTTCTAAACATGGAAATATAACTCTGATTGTTAGAGGCAAGTCTGCACCTTGACATCATTGATGTGGAGGTATTCTTCAATGATGGCATGCGACTTCTTCTCCACTTCCTCTTCAGTCATAGCAGGTTTAGGGAGAGATGGAGGAGGAGTGGGAGCGCTCTCACGCTTAACTGAAGAAAAAGGTAAAAATACAACTTGAAGCTCATTGTTCTTTATGTCCTTTTCTTTAAACCACATCTTTCTCTATTCAACTCTTTTTAATTCTTTATTTCATACCTGGGACGAAGTCACTACCCTTGTCCCGACTTCCTCTATCTCTGCTTCCTCGGTCTCTGCTTCCCCGATCCCTGCTTCCTCTGTCCCGACTGTCTGTCATGCTGGCGACGCGGCGCACAGATTCAGTCGAAGATCTGCCATCTCCTCCCCTCCCGCCGCGCTCTTGCGACTCTCTGCTGAAGCTTCTCTTGGTGACTTGGTTCACTTCCCGTCCTTCGCTGCGATCAAATCTGTCAAATCGATCCCTGTTGCGGTCGCTCCTGTCCCTGTTGCTCCCACGTTCGCGGCTCGAACTCGACCTAATGGTAAAGGAGACACAAAGAGGTCACTTTAATAACACACTCAATCAATTTGTAATCATGTTGAACGGTACCACTAAACTTTTTGTATTTTTTGAGACCGCAGTAGGCTCTCGTATACAAAGGGGAGGCCAGATGGAGGAAGATTAGTATTCAAGTGGTCGCCATCTGCAACCTCACAACTAGATGCCAGTAAAATGTGTTTTGAAAAACGTGACATCAACATAAAGTAAAAAATAAGAGTGCCTATGACAAGTGATAAACTAAAATTCGTGAATTAAGTACTCAACTAAAGCAGAAGCAGACTAATTAATGATAAAATATTTGGTGCTTCTGAGTACCTTTGAGGAACTCTGCGATCAGAGTCTGTTGAAGACATCAATGACCCAGACTGTAGGGCAGAGAAGCGGTTGAGAGTGCTGGTACCTGGACGCCCAGAGTCTAGAAAGATGGAAATGAATAGATTAAGAGCCAAACCACAAACAGCCACTAAGCAATGCTGTGTTTTAGAAGAAAGCTGAAGGTCTTACCCTGGTCTCCACTCGCTGGTTTAGCTCCAGTTCCTCCGCTGCTGCCTTTTCCCCAGCTGCCCCACATGCCTTTGCCACCCGGAGCCAACAGCTGGTTGTTGAAATCCATAGCACCAGGCTACAGGGAAACAAAAAAGTTATATTCATTCTCAAGAGGCCTGAGAAAGAGCTCAAGCCTTCACATGAATTTTCAGACGTTACCTTTGTGATCTTGCTTAGGCGGGTGGTGTCGATGGGTCTGTTCTTGGAGATGGGGACTGTGTTCCACCCCTCATCCTGAGGCTGGCTGGTCCGGCCACCTCCTGGTGTGTGAGGGCCTCGGCTGCCCATGTTTCCCGTGAACCTGTCTCTGCTTTCCTTCTTGGACAGGAGCTGCTGCTGGACTTTCATCTGTTCCCTGTGCTCCTCCATCTCTGCTTCCTTGTGAATCTGATCAATTGTCTTAGGACCCTGGTCTCCTCTACGAGGCACCCAGTTATTCTGTGGATCAGAGACAGAAGACAATTAACACCTGTGAGCCACTCTGGGGTGTTTCTGTCTGTGTTTTGGATTACATTTGTAATAGTACAAATGTTCTGATAGGAGAACCTGAGACAAAAAGCACATCCACCCTCAATAACACAGTTTTACGGGCCGTGCGTCAAATATTTTCATTTTTAAGCCCTTTGTGACATAAAAGAAAAGGGGGAAAAAATGAAATCCTTGTTCTATTCTGCAGCTTCAGTATGATCAACATAAACCGCTTTCCAGTGTTCCTCCTGTTCACAGCAAATCTCTAGAGCGGAACAAGAATTGTCGTCACCAACTGCAGGCCAAGATGTTGGAGATGAGATACTGAAAGGGCAAACAGCTGAATGTTATCAGGAACCACCACACCAGTGACATGGTTTGATATCCAGCAGGTAAGGAAATATGAGAAGGAAAGAACTGGGCCTAGCTGATTTGCAACGTGAACACCGTAAACTTTCAAAATAAAAGTGAGGGGTCTGCTTGCTGGCAAATCTATGCCTGATGATGCTGATGATGACGTTCTCACGGACAGAAAAAAAAAAATTTTTTCAAACTAACCCTTTACCCCTTTGAAGCCTACCAGCAGTAACCCGTGACGCCCTTTTCTGAACCGAGTACTCACTGTCTTATTTTAGCACTGCTTATAGAACAAAACAACTGGGTGTGCACCAGAAGTTTGTGAGTGTGGTCTCTGCTATGCAGCTACCCTGGTAAAAAAAAAAAAACCTTCAGACTGTACTGTATATAAACACTGAGATACATACACTACTAACTCAAGTCATGATAAATGCTGGCTATCAGTTCTTTATTGCTCTAAAATGTTGAATATGATTTAACAATTACCCTTCTGAGGTCCAAAACATCTTGCAGCATGAAGCGGATTCTTGATGAAGTCTTTCTCTCTTTAATAATCTTGTCCATCTGATTAAAATACTGATCCATGCGAGGCTGTCGGGGACACAGAAAAGAGTGAATTTTATGAGGTACAGGTACCAAATGACAAACTGTGTGTACCTAATGATACATCGAGAACTGCCTCCTCAGTTCCTCAACCCATCACTAATGATCAGTGGCCCAGACACGTGGCACAAAAACAAGGTCATCACAGGAGACATTTTAACGTGTACATATATCAGTGTTAGTCCATGCTTTACTTACCTTTGCCTTCTCAAAGTCCAGGTCTTTACCAATAGTGGACAGCAGTCTGCAGAGACACTCGAGAGACTCCTCATCGTGATTCTTAAGTAGTTTCACGACACAGTCGTGCATGATTGGCTCTGTCAGCATCTTAAGCTTAAACAGTTCACCAATGAACTTTATGTTGCCCAGTGAGCGGCGTCGAGCTTTATCTCTGGCCTCCTCCAGCTCTACCCTGAAGCGCTCACGCTCCTCACCCTGCAGGCGGATACAAGTTTGTGCTTAGTGTACGAGTCATATGACAAGTTTACTCTAAATCTGAACGGTGGTTTTGACAGTTCTTACGTCTTTGGCAGCCTCCAATTCCTTTTGCTTTTTCTCAAAGATCTCATCATCATCCTGGTCCTTCTCAAACTCTTTCTGGCAGCGGTTGAGCAGCAGTTTGCGGAAGTTCACAAAAACTCCTGGCTTGTCTGAAGTGGGGACTTTCAGCTGGTGGAAGACAACATTCAATGTCACCAGGGGGTTTTAACGCACGTTTTCCCATTCAACTGCATTTAACAAATATGTAGCTGAGAGTATGCTCCTTCAGTTCCTCAATACCATCACAAAAAGTTCAGTGGCCCAGACACGTGGCACTAAACAGAAGTCATCACTAGAGCATATGATCAAAGCACAACATCCAACCTTCACTAGACTCACCCCCATAAGGCAGCGGCACATGTTGGCGTAGGCCACAGAGAAGTTGGGCTCTGAGATGGCCTTCTCAAAGATGAGGTCGATGGCTCCCTTCAGCCTCTCCTCAGTGTCTATCGTCAGCTCTGTCACTTGTTTCATCAGCTCCTGAAACTTCTGTGGCGTCAGCTTGTTGAGGATGCTCCGCAGACGCTTGAACAGCTCTTGAGTCTTGGCCTGTTCTGGGTCTTCCTCTTCAGGCTCATCAACACGGGTACGAGTGGCCTTTTTCACAGAGGGCTTCCAGGCCTTCTCAGCCTTGCTGAGCTGCACGTCATCATTTAGCGACATGCTGGTGATAATTTTTTTGGTTTGAGAGCGACGGGGCCCAGATGGCTAAATGCAGAGAAACGCATAAATATTTTAAAAAGCTAGTAGGAAAAAACTTCACTAAACAAAAAGTTTACACTAGAGATCTCTGCCTTTGCAAACAGCTTGTCTGCCAAACGTAACATCACAACTGCTGGCATTCATTGCACTTTTGTGTCATGTCAGCTCATAATACACCTCTTTATCTCAAAAAACATCAGACAAGTACTCCAGCACGTTGTAGGAAGACAGGCACAGAGGGAGATTGTTTTACTTCAGGCCATCACGTCTCAAGTGCAAAAGTATAAAAACGGTGTGCTGACGACACAATTGGTAAACCTATTAACTATAATGCAAGTTAATGCTTAAAAGTGTCTTTTAAAAACTGTAAAATTAGCTAACCGGGCCACGAGGTCCTCCCACTGATCTGCTCCCAAGGTTCCCTAAATATGAGGGAGTAAAATCAGGACCAGTGTTCATCAGGCGAGATGGGTCAGCAGGTCGTAGTGGAGTCTTGTTCACCTGCAATTAAAGAGGCAAAAATAAATAAAGGAAAACTCCCCCGTGTTTTCACACAAAGTTTAAAATACTGGCAGTCGGCAGCACTACCCCTCAGCCTCCTAGTAGATCAACATATGGTATCAATTTGAAAATCCTAGATGACTTTGTTCTCGAGTTTTTGCATTCACAAGATTTTCAGGAAACTTCACCTCTGACCTTGAACTTTAGGACAAGGTCACTGAAATTCAAACTTAAAATTTTTAGCAGATGCACCTACTGATGTGAATTTCAAAATCCTACATCACCTCATTATCGCATTTACACCCGCCTACTCGCTTGCTCTGTGTGGTGACAACAATACCCCGTCAGCCTTTAACAAAGCTGTGACGGCCCAGGACAACGCATCAGGTTACAAAAATCGTGAGTTGCACGACTGGCTGAAGCGCCTCAAAGATTGTGGTGCACTTCAAGATGTGAGGTCAAAATTTACAGATGAGGAGTAAAACAAAACTGCCATATTCTTCAACTCAATTTGTATCATTTCTGCGTTCTTTTACACAAAGCTCAACATCACCTACCTTATCCAGCACCACATCACTGATGATAGGCAGGCCCTCAGGCTTGTGCATACTGGCGCTGATGAACTGGCAGCGCAGGAGGAACTCCCTGTCGTACCGCTTCTTGTCCTCCGGGTTTATCGGCTTCCATTCTTCTGCATAACGTACAGGAAATATGCAAAGGCACATGATTAAAGGCACAGCTTTACTGTAGCTGTATTCTGAAAGATGGCTGTGATAATCCACTCTGTCAGTGCAGATTCTTTGAAACTAAAATAATAAAACGATGACGGCACTATGAGAGAAACTAAAGTCACCATAAAGAGATTTTCACACTGTGCTTATATCAAACAAGGCCTCATCCTTCCAGCATATAAATGCAGGCACAAGGAAAAAAACAGACTTAAAATTTAATGCTGAAATAAATTATATTTGCCCTAAGACCAAAGTATGTACAGAGTTTTATCAGTTTAGCTTTAGGGAAAAGATTAAAACATTTAAAGATTTTTTTTAGCCTTTTAAGCTTTCAAAGCATACCTTGTTTGTACTGGTATTTCTGCTCAGTTGGCTCAGGTGTGCCTTTAGACTTGTCAGGTTCTGCATTCTGCTTGTCCTCTTTTTGCTCCCAGGTCTCATCTGCCACTTCGACAGGAAGTTCAGCTGGTGCTGGAGGGTTGGCCTGAGTGGGCATGGGTTCAGAGGCAGGCTTGGCACCCTGTTCCTGCAAAAAGAAAGAGAAGATCAAGTTTTCTAAGAATCTGTTGTTTATTGAGAGTAAAAGATGGACGACCCAGTTTAAGAGCTTTTTGGACTGTCGTCTGATTTAACACAAACCTCTGTGAAGGCATCCAGGAGATTACCAATGGCCTCCTTCTTGTTAAACTCTTTCATGTTCTTTTTCTTCCTTTGCACATGCGTAGCAGCTTCAAAAGGAAAGACAAAGTGATGACATTAAAATTCAGATAAAACAAGATTAGGCATGTGACAGCCTGAGAAGCAAGGGGGGGGGATTAACTGTACCTTGCATAGTAGATTCTTCTGGGCAGCTAACAGAGGCAGGAGGGGTATCCTCACTTTTCTTCTTGCACTCTTCCTCCTCCTCCTTCTCTTCAGCCTCCTCTTTCACCTCCTGGGCTGCTGTTGCCGTTTTAGCCATAGGTGTGGATTCCTGAGATTGAGAAGCGTCTGGCTGTTTGTGGGGCGTAGTGTCTGAAATTGCATTATCCTTGGGCAGTTCTTCGGTCTCCTGAGGAAGGCCGTTGGGGAGAACAGGCTCTGCTGCCTCAACTTGTGTGGATTCAGGTTCGGGGGTAGAGCACAGAACGGCGTTCTGGGTCTGTGTACCAGCAGGCTCCCGTGCAGGTGGGGGAGGCTGGGAGACTTCAGTTGCCGTTTTTGTAGCCATTTCTTCTTTATTCTTTCTTTCTTCTTCAAGATTGGAAGAACCTGTTGCTGCAGCCTCAGCTGCAGGCTCCAACTTCGTGGTGGCCACCTGCTCTTCTTTTTCCAGTTTCTTCACTTCCTCTGTTTTTGCTTCTTCCTTTTCTGGAGCCTTCTCAGCTTGAGCTGGAGCAGCCGGTAGTTCCTCTATTTTCACAGGGGCTTCTGGTGCTTCTGAAGACTGTGAGGTTGCAAGAGGAGCATCTACTGTATCAGAAACGGTAGTGCCAACTTTATTTACTGCCTCAGCAGGAGTAGTGGTCAACGTTGCTCCTGGAGGAAGGGAAGGAGGAGACTGCTGGTCCTTTATCAGTGTGGATGGCACCTCAGTAGTAGCTACGGGGGCTACAGATTGTGCAGCTAACTCAGTAGGCAGCACTATTTGGCTGTCCACTTCCTGTTTGCTCTCCAACACAGGCTCAGCATTTGCCGCAGCAAGAGAAGGAGGGGTTTCAGAACTAGTAGGACGCTCTGTGTTATCATCTGGACAGCGAGAGACGTGACAATAAATGACGAGAAAAAAATTTACAGTCTTTTTCACCAAGTCAAACTTAAGAAAATATACTCACCTCTTCTCGTCTGTGCAATCACAGGCTGGGAAATTTCCCCATTGACCTGTGCAGGACTTGCATCCGGTGCCTGCAATCACAAAGCAATAGCGGCCTTTAATAAATAAAATAGAAAACCCACTAAAGGGCTTTTAACAATGAGCATCAACACACATTTGGTGCAGTTTGTTACAAGTTTTTTTTCCCTCACATTTGGTGGATATTGTCTGAGGTGGTATTGACTCAGACCTGTTTCTTTGAAGGCTGCAGTGTCACTCAACTCTATTAAAAAGTGATTCGTTTGTGTTGCCCGTTTCCCCTCCAACTAGCAATTTTCAACTTTAGCAATAGCTCACCGCATCAGTGCATATTTGTTTGCATTTGCTTAGACTCAGCATAGTTTGCTTAGTGAAACTGACCTCAGCTGTGCTGTCTATTAGAAAGTACCATGAAGATAAAAAAAGACATCAACACAGTCGCAGATGTACTTAAAAAAAACAAAAAAAAAAAACAAAATCCACAACGGTGCCTTTATGTACAGATAAATTCATATTCCTTCCTTTTTAAAGTAAGAAAAAATAAAAATAAAAAAGTCAGAGCAATCATCACCTAATAACATCTTTTGTTGTTTTTTTATAACTTACCTTTGTTTTGTCTATATAAAGCAAAACGTTGGCTTCACATTGAAAAAAATTACTTTGTTCTAAAGCAAATCAATTTACAGTGAAGACAAAATGAACATGAGAAAAACATAATGAAGTTCTGTGCTTTACTGTATTGCTTTAAACACAGAGTACCACATGTCAGCACAAGATAGCCAACTATATTTTAGATTTCTGATAAAAGACAAATGTACAACACTATCATTACTCTATTTAAATCAGTCACTTCAAAGTAAAGTCTTACCTGTGGTGTTGGTGTGGTGGAGGACATTACACCCGACAGGATCTCGTGCGTGATATCGCGTCCACCCTGGTTGGGGTCTCGTATTGTTATCTATTAGAGAAAAGGCAAATGACATTAAAATACAAACAATGTGCAACCATCCTGCCACTACTGATCTACAGCTGCCGACCCCCATCATGACAAATACTATTGTTGTTTTCAGGTTAAAAGGGAAAGTTCCACATTGAACACACAATACAGTGTCTCTCCATTCAACATTTTTGACCTCATTCAAGAGGTGTGCTGTGCTTTTGTTGGGACATACTACCGGTCTGCGTTCTCTCTTCATTAGGCCTTGTGACTGTGCAGGGGCTTGCTGAGGAGGCGGGACTTGTAGCTGTTGCTGGGTGGACAGCATGACCGCTGAAGGCTGGACAGATGGGGGATACTGAGGCGGAGTTGGATAGTATGCTCCAGCTGTAAAGTTGAAATGAAACAAAGAAAAGAAATTACAAAATAAATCATAAAAACAACTCAGAATAAACAAGAGTTTTCAAGAGTTCAAACTAAAAGAAAATCTGTATGTACTTGTTTCATTTGATTGAGATTTTTTTTTTTCTACATTGCTGATAACTGTTGGGGGGAAAAAATGTAAAGGTGCAATAACAAACATTTGTACGTGTACACAAAGTGTGGTTTCAGATATAAACGTGTACTTAAAGGCTAATTTGTGGGTTTATTTTTAATGTTTTGATCCACATTATATATTAACAACAAAGTCTATGAATTAATGATGGCTGAATTTGACTACTACACAAAACTTTACTACTTCTGTCTACAATACGTGATGAATTATAAAGATTGAAACAGCCCACTTTACATTCAGTTGTGTAAGGAGGCATAACTGCCATTTGCTCTTTACATTCACATCTGTCCAGACCTTTTAAAACAATTTAATGGGCTGGCACCAGAAGCTGGAACCACCAATTCAGCATCCAGCCAAATTTAAACATTTATAAGTAGTATTGCTGTACAGAAAATTACTTCAAACTGAAGTTGGTTTTTGACCCTTTATATACAAAATTCCATTTATTTAGCTTCTTAAACAAGAAACAAATGGAGAAAAATCACCACAGAGGCATCACTAGGCTACAAGCTAAAAGTTTCAGTTAAAGTTTTTCTCTGTATTTGCTACAACTACATTTAAATAACATCCATCGTCGTGTGTACGTGACCTACACGTACGAAATCAGAGACAGGAAGACACGGTTAGAGACAGGAAGTGCCACAGAAGCCTGCTGACCACCACAAAAGCACACACACTACTCACCGGGGTAGCGCTGGGAGGCGAGAGGCGCACCGTGGAGAGAGAGACGGCCGTTCTCTCGCCCGCCCCCTCTCCCCCCGCCACCCCGCCTCTCCCTCGCGGCAAGAGAGGGCTCTGAACCAACGCAGCAAAGGAGAGGAAGGGAGTGAGGGACGGGAGAGGGAGGAAAGAAGGAGAGGGCAGGAAGAGACAGATGCAGAATGTGTTAATGAGAGGATCCAGAGGAAGCAGGGTGTTAAGAAGGTCCCATGAAATGAACAATGCCTCTACTGTACTTACCTTGTGCTCTTGGCATATATTTATTTTCAAATAGTTCAAATTTTGAAGTGCATTACGATCACACAAGGGTCTTTATAAGCAAATACAACGGGGGTTTCAACTGAGCCAACAAACCCCCACTTATCTATACGTATATATAAAATATCTGTGCATTAGTACAAATGTACTAAAGCAAATCAGTTTTTGTAGCAGTTGCGTTTCCTGCTTAAAAAGTGCAGTTCATTCATATTTAAATAGGGTTTCTGGCAACGTTAGCTCCCACACAACTCTTCTGCTGCTGTATGTAGACATGCAAAAAAGGAGAAAACTGCGGTTTCAAAGCCATTTCATGGAACCTACAAGGCAGCGTAAGGTGCAGAAAACGAACACAGGCCAAAGCAGAATTAAGCCCGACTACATGCACATACAGCAGTGTTTGGACTCAAAGGCATATTTAAAAAAAAAAAAAACGAAGAAAAAGAAACACACACAGAGACAGACATACTACAGCAACAAAGACAATTAACCCCCATCACAGAAAAAATAGAAACAAGAAAACAACCCACAATCAGCCAAGCAAAACCACCCCACATTCAGGAATACTTTACAGATGAGGAATTCTGCATGTGGATGTGGTTTTAAATACGGGTTAGAACTTCTCCATTAAGTTCTGTGTTTAAACTGAACGCGTTTGTGGTTCGGCTTGGTTGTTGTGAGTCTTGGGGTTAAAAACCCTTACCATAAGGAGGGTATTCAGCAGGGCTAGTTCCGGTATAGAAGTTTGCTGTGCCGCTGGTCACGGGATACTGCTGGGTAGGAGGCATGTATGGAGCTCGGTACTGTAGAAACAAGACAAACAACAATTACGTTTTGAGAGCCTCACTCCAAAAACCTCTATTAAGAGGACTTTCAAATATTAATGTAGCTCATCGTAACAGGTTTCCAAACTGCGTCTCTCCCGTCCTCACATAGGATCACAAGCTTCAGACGAATTTCCACACTAGCGCTGGTATAGGAGAAGTCAAAACCGAAAGCAAAGAAACTGCCAAGTTTTGGGTTGTTTTTTTTTTTTTTTAACAAAGTCTCGTGTTACTACATGTCGTCTGTACAATTTGTGAATCTCTGAGCTTTTGAAAGGTTATCATTAAAACAGTAAAAACAAACACAATTATATAACACAATTATATACAGTGTTCTCAACTCAGCTGTGATGGCAGCAGCAGAGGGAGATTATGCCAAAATAAATAATATGTTTAAATTGTGAGGTGCACAACCAGCAGAATCGGTTGTGATGTCACCTTCGTTTTTGGGTGTGGTTCGCTAAGGACTGGAAGGTGGGTATAATGAAACTCTTTAGAAGACACTTTGGATGAGCCATCAGAAGGACTCCTAAAGCACTGAGTGTTTGTTCTTCACTACTAGCGCTTTTTCCACTAGTAAGTACTTGGCACGACTCGGCTTGGTTTCAGTCGTTTTCCATTACACCTGAGTACCACCTAATGTGCATAGGGTCGTTATACCAACGTGGTCGAAGGGCCTAGGACGTTATTTGTACCCGACTTAAACAACGCAACAATGGAGGACATCGAGGTGAAGGTATATCCTTGTTGCCGGGTTACAAAAGTGGCCATTTTGATTTTTGTGAAGGAGATGCTCTCATGACTTACAGTGACACTATTGACCAGTCAAACAGTGGCATGCAGTCTATTGACATCACATTTTCGGATCAACGGAGAGCATTTTGGAACCCCAGCCGAGTACCAGGTACTAAAAAAGTACCTGGTAGCGCCACCTAATGGAGAACCCTAAAAACAGAGTCGAGCTGAGTACGTACTAGTGAAAGAGGGCTTTGTGTGTTTATACACCACTATGCATTTAATCATTAGTTATTCTTAATCTCTGGCTCTCTTGCACAGAGTGTCTTTTGTCCCGTTTTCCTCCCACCACCCCCAACTGGTCACGGCACATGGCCGCCCCTCCCCGAGCCTGATTGTGACAGAAGCTTTTTCCTGTTAAAAGGGAGTTTTTCCTTTCTGCTGTCAACAAGAGGGTCATTTGATTGTTGGACTTTTCTCTCCATTGTTGCCGGATACCTCTACAATATAAAGCGCCTTGAGGTGACTGCTGTTGTGATTTGGTGCTAAATAAATAAAACTGAATTCAAGTTTAAAATGAAATCTGACACTAAAGACACCAAACTGACATGAAGAATACTGCAACCTTCCAACATTAAACATACAAACAATAATGAAGAGCAATAAGCTCAACATGTTACTATTAAATTCAATTCATTCAGAAGGTAATGTTACCCAAATAAAAAAAAGTGTTAAAAAGTGATTGCAACTGTTATGATAAGTATGTATTGATTACTTGGGCTGGCTGCAGAGTAGAGCTCGTGTGTGCACTAACCTGTCCAGAGGGAATGAAGAAGCCTTGAGGAGAGCCAGCAAAAGGTTGGGATATCATCATCATTTGTGAGCCGGGTGGGTAGACATGAGCTGGTGCAACAGCTCGAGGGCCACTATTTCCCGGTACCCTTGGAGCACTGGTGGCCATGGCGGGTCGGTTCTGATAGTAGCTCTTAAAAGAACAAAAACAAAAAGATGAAGACTGCATCATATCAGCAGCAAACGTATGGTTCTGCCTGTGCATTTCGTAACAATGGTATTCCAAATTTCTTGCTTTTACATTTTTCTGTGCGTTTGCTTCGAGTTGCGCACACGCCGATACCCTTCACCTGGAATCTACGCACTCACAGCAACTGCACATGTGCACACTAAATTCAATTCTGGGTAACTTGGGAGTTTAAATTATCCTGAAAGTCATGACTTCCTGCCACAATGAAGTTAGCACAAGTTAACAGGGGAGGGACGAAGAGAAAAGCTGTTACCTGTAATGCTCTGTATCCACCCTTCAGCCGCGCAACACATGAGCAAAGAGCAAGAAAGGGAGTAAGATTAAGGTGAAAATGAGGACCGGACACAATGAGGGGCATGTTTGAATTTACAGAACGAAGGAAGAAAGGAGGAGTATGAGAGGTAGCAGTGTGCCTCGCAGTCATGATGGGTACGCTCAAACTACAGACGCACATGCAATCGATTCTGGACAGATCATTATAGAAACACGATCCCCTTCTAGTCCTGCAGGGCCCTACTTCTGGTAGGTTAAAGAATCACATTAAGGGCTGCAGGCACATGCAGTTTAATTCATTTTAATATCTGGTGGCAACAAGGCCCTTTATCACTGTGGGATTAGGACAAATGTGGTGATCGATGCAAAACAGTGGCGAGACGTGGGCTGTTTTCAAATGACAGCCTGCTGCACAATTTAGACCGTATCAGAAATGCTTTCATTTCTCAAAATTTTCACAATAATACAATTCATGTCTACAAACCAGGTATTTAAATAAAAAAATGATCTGATGCAAGATATGCTGACTTGGTACTAAATTAAGATGAAAGGGGAAAACAAGGACTGAGGAAAAAGGAAAGAACTTTGGGGGACACTGGAAAAGAAAACTGTGTAGAGTTGAATTTTCAGCTCGTTTTAATTTACATCATAGACTCACTTGCAAAACGTAACTTGCATTAAAGTTACATAATGTTGATTACACAATCTAAGGGCTTGAATAATAATTTAATGTTGCAAAAGAGCTCATTTGGATTTGAATGTTTTTTTTTTTAAGTAAACTAATCTAAATGGATGTTTAGAAGGGCAGATCTAAACACTCATCTTATCTTCTTTCCCAATTTGTATCTGAAAGCATGCATTACACTAAGGAGACAGAGGGGATGTGAGGAAAAGTAAGGGGTGTTAGTACCTGTTGATGTAAAGTACGGGGCCCAGTAGCAAACTAGGACAGCAGAAGAGAGGAAAGAAGTCAAGATTGACATTCAAGGACAAAGGCGGCAAATAGCGGTTATAACACACACGCCAAGGCAAAGCCTTACAGCAGAAGAAGCTATGTCAGAAACTGTTGTGAAAGAGCAAGAAAGAAAGGGGCTCTCAACCATATCAACAACAGAAAGCATGCTGTGAACAATACCTGTCTTGGCTGTGGTGCAGAGTTCATTTGTGGAGGTGGAGGGGTTGCAAAAACAAGAGAAGGTGGCTGTCCAGGGCCGTAGGCAGCCTTAATAGGAGAGAACAGAAGAGGAGGGAGAGGGGGAAAAAGGTTACTAAACTCTAAACTATCAAAATAAATAAATAAACTATGTTAGCGGGTCTCACCTGTGTCAATCCAGGGGAAGGGGCAGGATTGGGGACAGAAGTGGGTCCCGCTATAGGCTGTGGTGGTTTGTTCATTTCACGTTCTTTTATGGTACTGCATTAGGGTGGCGATGTGGTGCCAGCCTTCCTGGGGGGAAAGACGAGCAAGAAATAATGTCAAAATGAGAAGAACATGAAATTACTTTGAGCTGAAATGTGATTTTTTAACATTTGCAAGCAGGCACTGGTATTCCAGGTCTTTGTTAAAAATGCTAATTACAGCCATTGAGGTTGGATACTAAAGATCACTGTAAGGAGACATGTTGAACCTTTAGTGTAGCAACATCTAACCAAGCAGCCAGGGTGTGGCCTGCAGTTTCGCCTATGATAACACCACCACCTCCCCAATCTCGTTCCATTGCATTTTTACAGAGCTCATATGAGGATGCAATTAGTGTCTTTCCCTCCTCCATCCTTGATTAAATCAGCTGGTAACACAATTATGTGTTTTATCTTCCATTCAAAGCTTAGGTTGAGTAGATAAGGGTTCAAATTACTTTCAAATAAATGGCTGCCTTAGACG